GGCAAAAAAACTAATTTGAACATTGTACTTCAACAGACAATACAAGCGCTATTATTTACTGAGGAGTGTATCCTGAGAATCTAATTCTTGTCGTTTCTTGTATGAAAAAATATTACTTAATATATATATTAATATTGTATTATTTAATTATTATATCTGTATATTCTTAAAACAATATAATGTGTTGTGTTAAGATTGATTTGAAGACAATGAAGATTTGAAAGAAATACAGGACAAAATTGATTGTATGTTTTTATTTACTGCATAAAAATATAGTAAATAATAAACTATATTTTATTTATTACAAAATATTTTGATTATTTATTTTTGTAATTTATTTTAAATTAGATTTAATTTCAAATAAGAAATTTAAAAAGTAATTAACTTGTGTAGTAATGTTAAATATTACAGTGTTCATATTTAAATTTAAACTAGGTAAAATAATTACTTTTGAATTATTTTATTTTATAAAAAAAAGTTATTGACATGGTATTAAATACTTATTTCTAGAAAGCAATGAATGATATGAAGTTATGGGCAGACGTAGACCCATTCCCGCACGCGCTAACGTAGACTCAGCTCTATCAGCCACGTCTAGTCTACTCTCGCCGTAATTCATCACCTTTCATACTCTGGAGGTTGAATCGGATGAAATTTCAGAAATATTTTCATTATCCATTTTGGTTAATTTGATACGGTTAATTTTATTTTAATTTTGTAGTATTTAATTCAAATTAAACTAAACTATTCATATTCAATTCGATTTAGATAATGTAATAGAGTTTATTATTATAACTATATCGCATGTTATTATTATAAGTAAAAAATATTTTTTTTTTATAAATCGTAAATTTTAATTAGTTTTACTTCATTTATTGATATTTTTTCAAAAATATTAATTCTTTAATTTATAAGCTTTTAATTGTATTATTTTTTTTAACATTTATAATAAGGATAATTTAGAAAAAAAAATGTTATGAAATTAATAAAGTTTAAAATAGATAATTGACTTTTTTTTAATATACATAAAATTAGTTATTTTTGTTTATAATAGATAATAGATAAAACGATAAATAAATTGTAAAAGATAGAAAATTATGTTAGACAACTTCCATTTGTCAACAATGAGACATGTTAATCACTGGTGTGTCATATTATCTATAAAATGTTTCATGTTGATATGATACATTATGTTATATTGTCATCTATAAATTTTATTAATAATTTACGTTAATAGAAAATAATGACACATTAATGATTAGTATATCGTATTAATAGTTACACAGATTACATTAGAAATCAATTAATAGTATCAGATGATTAACTTACTAAATGACAATATTTTTAAAATTAAAAAGAAATGTGCAATTTCCAAATTTGAATGACAAAATTTATAAAATTATAAAATATGGATAGAAAAATATGTAATTATATCAATTAACTTTAAAAAAAGCATTTTTTATAATGAATTTTTTTACTTAATAAAGTAAATATTATAAATATTTTCTTTTTCTAAATAGATGTTTTTTTTTATATTTTGAATCAACACTTTAAAATTATTTATTAACATCTTTAAAAGTTTTTTTTTAATCATGAAATAGGTATAAAGTATTAATTGTTATAAGTTATTAATCTTCGTTGAGACCATAAATATATATAAAATACATATTTTCTTTCCAACATATCTAAAACAATTAATTAACTGATTAAATTGAAGTTGCTTTGAAACTATTGAAAGAAAAAACTTTAAAATGGTTAATTTATCGATTAACTTGATTGTAATTGATTTAATTTTTTTTAGTTCCTATTTTTTTTTTGTCTTATTCTAGTTCTTGTAAATTATTATTATTTTGTTATTTGTAAATCTTTAACGTAATTTTATTTTATTCTTTTTATCATCAATCCTAGTTAATTTAATACTTAAATGACTAACAAAATAAACAAAATATTAATTAATATAAAAAATTAAACTAAAATAGTTATATTATTTTTAAGTACATAATTCATTTAAGTAATGTATTTATTATTTTATATAAATAAAGTGATCACATATTTTAGTTTTATAATTAGTTTTTAATTTTTCATATAATATGAACAATAATTTTATTGTTTTTAATATTACTTTTAATTTTCTTCAAACAATTAATAAAATAAGGACCATGAAGATCACAGGCCGATGATTTTATGTTCCCCCAGTAGGAATCTTTTATCACATTGCCACTCCCCAAAGTTTTATTCATCACACTGTCACCCCCAGGAAATTTAGGGAAATGCCACACAATTTTTCACACATGAGAAGTTGGATTTGGGAAACCGATTTCTAAATGGGTTTTTATATTATTTTTATTTTTCATTTTAAGTTTTTAAATTATTAAAGTAAAAAATAAAATTTAAAAATAATATAAATATAATATATATAATATTTTTATATTATTCAAGCATTTATAAATTTTTTTTTATTTTTACTATAGGTCAAAGTGTACAACAATTCGAATGATTTGAATCATTGAAATTGTCGAACAATAACTAGTCAATAATGTTATGATAAAAAATGTGAAGAATATAATTAATAGAGTATAGTTTAAAATGCGCATAATCACTACACTTTTAAGTATGTTTGGATACCAATTCTAATGCAAAATAAATAAATAAAAACTTACGAGTGTAGCTCTTTTTTCAATCTCAATTGAAATTAACTCAACTAATTTCTAAACACATCCTAAAAACTCTCACAGTTGAATGAAAAATTTAAATTTTACGTAAAATTTTTAATATAAAACTCTATACATTTATTTGTCAAAGACACCCACCTATTTTATTTTTTATTATTCACGTTGATTTGTTGGTGAGTACTGATTGGCTTCTAAAAGAAGTTTAGAAAAAATTATGGGAATTTTTGCACCTAATAAAAGTTTAATAAAGTCCACAAGATTTTTAAAAAGTCATTAACCACTAAACTAAAATGTAATTTTAGTATATTCTTTTTGCAAATATGCACAAAGTTTTGATGATGGAAGAAAATAAAAATTAAGTTAAAGCAAGCTGATCAAGAAGTAAGATCTAAAGTAATAACTAGATAAGTCTTGACTGCTTAGCTTAGTATGTAAAATGAACTTTTAGAATTTGCAAATTTCACTTTGCCATTAAAATAAGAATTTCAAGAAAACCTAAACTTAATACTTTTGAATATAAGAATAAGTTGTTTGAAAAAAAAGCAAAAAGAGTAGTTAAAAGATTAAACAAAAATATTTTTAACTGGAAAATAGAAGCTCTTTATATCTTAAGTTTTCATAAGCCAAAACAAGTGACATGTTTCTGGTAATCGATTACCACTTGCTGTAATCGATTACCAGAGAAAGAAAACCTTTCAAATGTTAAAAAAAGAGAAATTTTCAAAATTCGAATTTGAATTATACAACGTTTCAAACATTTTGAACTTAAACTGTTGTAATCGATTACCAAGTCTTGTAATCGATTACCAGAGCCTATTTTCTGAAAAATTATAAAGAGTTACAACTCTTCATGAAAAGACATAACTCATGAAACAATTGTCTATAAATACCTGTAATTTTTTAGAGAAAAGAGACGAACTCTATTGGGAAAATCATTTACAAAAACTACTTGACCAAAGTCATTTGCAAAATCTCTAAAGAGTTCATCAAGATCATGAAAGTGTAATATCTACTCTTCAAAGAGAGTCATTATGTAAAACTCAATTGATCATTGAATCTGTAAAGGAGAAAGGGTTTTTCTCCTTGTTGGTTTTTGAATCTTAACACAAGAAAAGGGAGTTTCGAGGTGTTGGAGGATTCAAGTCTTATAAGATTTACAAGAGTAGTGGAAATCTCAAGTGGGAGACTTGAGGACTGGATGTAGGCAGGATTGGCCGAACCAGTATAAAATCAAGTTTGCAATTTTTCTTTCTCTACACTTTTAATTTCTTGTTATTAATTATAATTGTGTAGTATTTGCATCATCATTTATTCTTTACATATAAATTTATCTAAGAAATTAAATTTGATAAGAAAGTAATTGGAAAAATTTTTATAAGAGAAAATTTAAAAAACTTAATTCACTCCCTCTTAAGTTAATTGAGGCTAAGTGACTAACATATACTATATGTTTAATATAAAATTATATGTTTAATAATATATCAATTAATGTAATTTAATTAGTAATTCATTGATTCAACAAGTGATTTACGGACCAAATATTTTAACTGAGTTGATTCCCATTCTAATTCTTATAACACTAATAACTAGACAAATTTTATCATGACAAAAATTGAAACGTCAAAATTTGTGTAAGATTTACATATACAGATATTAAGATAGACTTGATAAAAAAAACTAAATTATAAGATATAATTATTATAAAATCGTTGATCGTTAATTAAAAAAGGTATCTCCACTTAAATAAGAACACTCTATGTTTTATAATTGTAATAAGCTTGAATAATTGTAAAAGAAATCACATGTATTTATTTTTTTCTCTAAATGATCATATTTAAGTAAAAAAAAAAAAAAACGTTGAGAAACGAGGTCCCATAACATAACCCAACTTCTCATGGATATAAAAAAAAGTGTGGTAGTTGCCTAATTAATCTGATGGGAGTGGCAGTTTGATAGATAAAAATATAGGAGTGATAAAAAATTCTCATGTTCATGTAGTATCGTACAGAAGAGACAAGGGTCACTGTTTCATAAATCAACGGCGCAAATATGCTCCGTACGCGTTCTTTGGGATCTACATCGCTAAATGCAGAATCTTGGTTCTTGCCACCGTGTCCAATACGTGTATGGTGCGCGTTCAACCTTTTTTCTCAACCTTATTTTTTTTCTCTAATTAACCATAGATTAAAACCTAAACCTCTATTTTACTCCTAATTCAGGAAAATAATTTTCCCTTTTTTGTGGGTTCGTTTTTATTGTTTGTACGTATTTCCTTTAATTTTTTTCAACCACCATAATACGCGGTCCAATTCTCCCCAATATAATCCTCACCTTCCTACTAAGATTCCATGCCTCACTTCTCCCCACATTTCTCTCACTACCTCTCTAACTTCTCTTTCTCATTCTCAATTCCTTTTTTTTCTTCTTTCACTGCCTTCAATTTTCCTTTTCACTCCTAGGTTATCCAATTGGAGTGATTTAAATTTCAATTTTGAGGGGAATTCTTTCGCTTCAGGCGCTTTAATACTGAATTTCTGGAGATTTTTTGGGTTTTCCATTCCCGGGTATTCTAATTGAAGTGATCGAAGTTTCAAACCTTGAGATCATTATTATAATTATTTTTTAAAGGTTTCAAAGTTTGTGTTTTCAAAAATTAATTTTGGGGAATGGGTATGTGAAATTTGGTCTTCTGAATTCTGGGTTTTGAAATTGAGGTGAAAAAGTTGTCGAATTGGAGAGAAAAATCGTGTTTTATTTTTTTTAATTATTATTTTTGGGTACTGTGTGTACGAAATAGGTATTGGGGGGAAGAGATAGTGAGATTGTGAAAGGTGTGTGGTGTGTGAGAATGCCAGCGACGGACTTCCAAGGTTCGTCTCCTTCATCGTTAACCCATTTCGGCCGTTCAATTCTGAGTTTTCGTCGCGAACAGGTTCACTCCATTTCCATGGAAGGGTCAAGCTTGGAGGCTGAGTTGGAGTCTTTTCAGCAACACGTCACTGACCGGTTCTCAGAACTCTCTTCGGTTGGTAACGACGATTTGCTTTCACTCTCGTGGCTTGGGAAGCTCCTTGATTGCTTCTTCTGTTGCCAACAGGAGTTCAGGGCCATTCTGGAAACCCACAAAACACAGGCTCTGAGACCCCCCTTGGATCGCATGGTGTCCGATTATTTCGAGCGCAGTGTGAAGGCCTTGGATGTTTGCAATGCAATTCGTGACGGGATTGAGCAGATTCGCCAATGGCAGAAGCTGTTGGAGATTGTGCAATGTGCATTGGGGCACCAGAGGAGCATTGCCGAGGGCCAATTTCGAAGAGCTAAGAAAGCCCTTACTGATTTGGTAATTGGTATGCTTGATGATAATAAGGATTCCAATGCCTCTATTGCGCATCGAAACCGATCCTTTGGCCGCAGCAGTGGTGGTAGTAGAGATCATCACCATAATCATGGCCATAGCCATGGCCACAATCATAGTAACAATGCTAACTACCACCATCGCTCCTTGGGCCATTTTCGTTCGCTTTCGTGGAGTGTTTCCAGGACTTGGTCTGCTGCTAGGCAGCTCCAAGCAATTGGGAACAACATCTATCCACCTAAGGCCAATGACATTGTGGCCTCTGGTGGCCTTGCAATGCCTGTGTTCATCATGAATTCGATTCTCTTGTTTGTTATGTGGGTCCTTGTGGCTGCAATTCCATGCCAGGACCGTGGATTAAATGTTCATTTCACCATTCCTAGGAGTTTCTCATGGGCCGTTTCGCTGCTCTCGCTTCACGAAAGGATCATGGAGGAGTCCAAGAAGCGAGAGCGTAAGAATACATGTGGCTTGCTCAGGGAGATTCATCAGATTGAGAAATGTGCTAGGTTGATGAATGAATTGGCTGACTCTGTGCAATTCCCCTTGACGGAGGAGAAAGAAAAGGAGGTTAGACTTATAGTGCAGCAACTTTCACAAGTTTGTGATGCTTTGAAAGATGGATTATACCCTTTGGAGCGCCAAGTGAGGGAGGTGTTTCATAGAATTGTGCGCAGCCGAATGGAAGGGCTTGATTCTCTTGGCAGGCCAAGCTTTGCTGATTAACTTGTTACCTCCGTCATCCATTTGTGGGTGTTGTTATGAAAATAGAAGTTGAGATGATATGATATAATAGCCTAGTTTTGCTTCCGTTGAATTAGAAAACTACAAAATGAAGAAGCAATTACCGGAGGAGATTAAAAGTTGAAGAATGACAAAGGCTGAAGATTATGCTAACAATGAAGTGGTAAGAGAGAGGATTCTTGTACCTAAAAATCATATAAAATGTATAGAATGTAGGATATTTGAAATGGATCCTAGGGGTCTATGTTGCTTTTGTTTTTCTCTTTAATTTGCTGCATCCTCATTGTAGCTGATTTTGTTTATGAATATGTATTTGATAAATCTCCTTCTGCTTCTTATACTTTCATTTGTGTTTCCAAGAGAAGATTATTGTAAATTGTTGACTTCCTTTGGAGTATCAGAATTGTTAAATTTTCAATAAACTCTAAGGGCTAACTATAGAAAAAGAAAGACATATAAATTGATCAAATTCTGAGGTACTTCTATCACCATCAGACTGCTTAATTTCTGTTTCTCTTCCATATCATTTGTGGACTTAAATTGCAAATGGCATTGACGATGGTCAAGTATTTTGTTCTGTTCCATTTCCATCCCTACAACCTGTGTATGGAAATATGGCCTTACAAAGATTTTGCTATAACATTTGGGCTTAGCTTAGCTTTATACGATCAAAATCAAATTTTAAAGGCAAATAAAAATATACCATAGATAAGTGTATTCCTCGCCCTTGAGCCATTCATTGTCAGATACTCTATGGAATTGGGAATGTTACAAAAAAGTTAATTTGTTATTTCTGTCTTATTTGGCCCGATGAATCTTTAATGTGTTTGAGTTTCCGGTCAAGTAATAGAAATGGGTAGACTTTGACCTGGCTTATTGTCATCCATAATTGAATTTATTGGCAAAATGACACTAGTTCCTCGTCGAGGTAAAACTTGTTGACCAGATTTCAGTGTATTTCTATTCTTTAAGACGTCTTATAAAGTCATCAAGATTTGGCTTTGAGGTAACATTTGTGCTATTACTTGGAAGTGTTTGCAATGTTTTCTCACATCATCTCTCGTTTTCTGCAGTAACATGTCATAGATTTGGTTCAGCGGGTAAAGTAACGCAGTAATATATATTTATTATTACTATATTTGATTTGACATGAACTTATTCTCATATTCTCTGAAATCTGAATAATTGGAGTCCATTTTTATCTCTTTTAAGTGTCATTGAAGTAAATATTATTCAACCGTTAGTGGCTTCATGATGATTTCTACGTGTATATCTTTCTATCTGTACGCACGTGCTGTGTCTGCAACGTGTGCGAATATTTAGAAGAACTTATGATTTTTGCTTCACTAGCAAAGTATCATCTTTCTATCTAGCTCAATATAATGTGAATAAATTAATAAAGGAAATGGTTTGCTCTTGATTAATGATTATATAAGTATAAATTCACGTGGGATACCATAGAAGGACTAAAGTTGAAATAAGTAATAACCTCTGTTTTGCTTTTGAGCATAGCTTAATGCCCACCTTAGAGTTTGTTAGGCATATGGTGGTTGGACTAGGTCCACTCAACTCTGGCAATTGTTTGATGAATTAGTCTACTCAACAACAATTATTTTTGTACCATAATATCTGAAATAGTCCGTGTTTCTATTTCAGTTTTGGTAACCATCTTAATAATAAATAAATTATTATAAGAAATATTAATTTTTTTTAGTAATATTGCATCATAGTTATATATATTCTATTATGATTATTATTACATCAGTACAATGTTGTATTTGTAAACATAATATTACAGTAATTATGCATATGAAATACAAAATTAAAAGAATGTTCGCATTATTTTTTATTAGTTTAAATTATATTTTAATAAACGTGAATCAATTGACGTTATATTATTTTATTAAAGATATATTTTAATGTTGATTTTATATGCATAGAAAATGTAGGTTGTTAAATTAAAGTTACGCAAGTTTTCAATTCATGTTATCAGTGAAAAAATTATGAATATTATATATAATCTATATTAAAAACATTAATAAAAATATTAAATTGTGCATATTACGGGATAATAGTCAAGTTAGTTTAAGTATATATTAACATTTGACACATCATCAAAGAATTTGATTTATGGTACAGTTGTAATAATAGACACTTCAAAAGTAAAACATAGAATAACTTGTTTATGTGTTCGACAACAGAGCTCGGTTGAATTTGTGTAATTTTCATTTAAACAACTGGTTAATATCATTATTTTCAGCCGTGGCTATGTTCTCTCTATGTTTTGTTGGTTGTGATTACCATTATGCTTTTAAGCTCTAAATCGTGGCCAGAAGAATGAATTGGACATTGTTCTGGCCAAAAATATCATTCAATCTGTTTATTTTTTTGATGATGGGATTTAATCGTTGATTGAACAAGAAAGTATTTGTCCCTGGCTACCTTCAACAATATTTCGTACATTATATAAATATTTTTATGCAAAAACAAAATATTAAAATTATTTTTATGCTTAAGTCTATCGTAAATAATTGGTTATCTGCCCATTAATTATTTTAGGAAAATTAACCAAACTTGAGCAAGATGCATTACCATTGTCACTGACTCACTGTACTAGAAGCTTAATTTTGGGTCATTTACAGTACGGTCCCAATTTTTATAGATGGGTCCATTGACCCAAAATGTATCCGTTAAAGATGGACCTTGTAAACAAAATTGGACCAAAATGGAAAAAAGAAATGTAAAATAAAGAAACAAGCTATACAGGTGCAGCCAAAACTACTTTAACCATTCATGCGTTTTTATTTAACTAGTTTAACTTTCAAAACAAATGGTTCGTGATGTAAAGATGATCAAATCATTATTTGTTTTCTCTTCTGATTTTCTCATGTTACATATACATACTAAATATTTGGTGATGCAAGTTATCAAGGTTGGAGAAAAGGAAAGAAGCAGGATACAATAAAAAAATACGTGTCTTTTCTTTTTTATCTAAGTAAATCCATTTCACGATGAAATGTCAGTACATCTGAATCTGCATAACACACATATTTGTTTTATTAATCTTTATTTCCTTTGCATCACTTCAATGTAATCGAGAACTGCTAGACAAGCTATTCTGATATTGAACACAATTTTTTATTTGATTGCCAGCAAAACAGTTCTCTGTTTCTTTCTTGTCTTTCATGACAAAGTATGATCATATCCTGTATTTGTATTATCATGAGATCCATGACAAATCTGAGATGCTTCTAGAATTCGGAGATTCTTAACTTCAGGCACACAGCTATAAAGCCAATCAAGATTCAAGATTGGTCTGGTCGCTTGAAGTTTGCATTAGTCCATTTTACAAAATTAAAAATACTGATTGGTTGATATTTGCCATGTGGCCATCCATTCATCACCTAATATCTTTTAAAACCATATCAACTCAGTAACTAGTCACCAAAAATGCGATTTCCATAACCATTAGTATCTGTGGATACATAAGATATACTTTATCGGTGGAAACACCCCAAAATTAAAAAGCCTCTTGAAACAACTTAAATCATAACTCTTTCTCTTGATCCAAGCAATTTAGAGCATGGGTTATCACAAGGAAAAAGAAATTAACTCTTTCTGGCTCTAATGAGGTGCATTAAAAGAAATAAGAGAGTCACAAGGAAAGTTGATCCTCCAAAAAACAAAGGAGGACAAGGAGTCCATGGCTTTTTGGGACCTCCCTTCTTCACTGGATGTGTTTCCTCTGGAACTGGAACCTTTTCTGGTTCTGGTTCAGGTTCTGGTGTCTTATCAACAACATTTTCTGGTTCTTCTTTCACCTCCTCAATTCCACTCACTCTTTGTCCACCTTCTGTTTTTGGCATCACAATTGTCAAAAGTGCATCCTCTTGGTTATACCTAGCCTTGATCCGATCCAAAACCACCCCATCAGGGATTCTAAACTTCTTCACAAACCCTTTGGTTTTGAGCTCTTTCTTGAACGGTATCATTTGCATTTCTTGCACCTCCTTCTCCCCACTCACTGAAATCTCACTACCATCTTTACTGATATTTATCTCAATGTTCTCTTTCTTATATCCTGCATGGTTGTGCACATACATACATTAGCACATTAGCAACATTAACACAAAAATAGAACAAGAAAACTAAGAAAGAAACCTTTTAGATGTGCGGTGAGAATGATCGTTGCATCAGTTTCCTTAGACAAGAAAACAGGTCCTGATCTGTCTTTGGCAAACTGAAAATCAGAAACGGAAGTGCTATCATCTCTGGTTCTTGTGATCTTCAGCCCCAACTCAACCTCCATGGTCCTTAATTTTTCCCCAAACCTTGGAAAAATTAAATGTTTCGATTTTTAGTATAGTTTTGTGGCTCTAAGAACCAAACTGTGCAAGTAAAGCACATATTCATTACTTCACTATATAGTGTATAGGGGTAAAGCGGCTACAACATGGTCAGTGGCTTTACTATTATTATTCCTATTCTTTATTGTCTTTTAAGAGAATCTACTATTGCTTTTGGACATTTAAGAGTAACAATGTAACATCAAAAGCATGGAAACCATGGTTGTCCAAGAGAATATTATTAAACTGGTACAATTTCATAAAATTTGATCTGAAGTTGTTAGAATAGTGGATTAAGCCTAACTCAACCCTACAAAACCGGCTTGTAAGGTGAGGGTTGCTTTCCACTTATATACTATTCAATTGCCTAATCTCTAGTCGATGTGGGACTTGGGTTTTTCCCAATACACCCCCTCACGTCCAGCACTATTGGGCTTGGTACGTGGATAAATGGTGGGTGGCCCTTTTTAATGATCTAGGATAGGCGGGACTTGGGTTTTTTTCCAATACACCCCCTCATGCCTATGAGGCATGCATCAATGGTGGGTGGCCCATTTAAAGTGGATCTAAATGGCTTTGATACCATGTTAGAATAGTGGATTGAAGCCTAACTCAACCCTACAAAACCGGCTTGTAAGGTGAGGGTTGCTTTCCACTTATATACTATTCAATTGCCTAATCTCTAGTCGATGTGGGACTTGGGTTTTTCCCAATAGAAGTGGTTGAGATTGCGTGTTATTCTTACCTATGTTTGAATTTAAGCCTTGTAGACAAAACATCTAAGGATCTAACCGTGTCCTAAAATTTGTTCGGGAGGGTACCTCAAACAAAAAGAAACCATTTATCTATTCACCGATTAACTCTTGTATCATGATGGATGAAGCTTTATTAGAGGAATTGGTCTGATCATCAGCAAAGTACACCAAAGTACTCTTCCCGTTCACTCCATTAAATCTTGTTTTTTTTTATATTTATATATTTTTAATTTCCGACCGGCATGCTTCGTAAGAAGCGATAGACAAGTTCAGACATAGTTAGAGTCTTAGAGATTGTTTTAGATGACTAGAGATTGAATTCTTAAACGTATTGGACTATCGGTGATATTAGAGATAGAGGTTGATTTAGATGGTTTTAACTTTTAACTTACAAGTAGTTAGTTAGATGGGCTTGTCTAAGCATAAGGCTAGTCAAACCCTAATTTTAGGCTTCCAAAATACTTTTTTTTATTTATACAGAATTTAATGAATTAGTTGTATTAATATTAACTTTAATTTATTGATTTAAGCTTAATATTGTAAGAATTGGGATTTATCATAATATTGTAATTTTTTGTTGAAAGTTCTTTTTTTATGAGTGGCTGTCAATTTTTTTACTATTCTTTTATCTTTAAAAAGGCACAAATTTAGAACTTGCTTTTGGTCTCAAAATATGTTGGGCCAGCCGTATTAGTTAGTTGGACTCTTTCTTATATATAACAAACAAATACCACATCATTTCAATTTATCTTCTTCATTTTTAATGAATAATAAATTTTCTTATTTTTTTTCTCCTCAAATTCTCCTAGTTCCTTTTTTTTTCCTCCACTTTTCTGAACAAAATGTAAGACTTTCTTCCGATAGATTCAAATTGTAATTTATTACTTTGTCAAGAACTAACCCTAATTAGTGGTTAGGTTATTCAATTTGAAAGAAAAAAAAATCTTTTGATTTTATTTTCTATCTTTACAAGTAATTTTGAAAAATGACACTTTTATTCTTGTATTTTAACTATTGGTTATGAATTTTTTAAAAAGATAAAAAAAAATATTTATATTTATAAAATATAAAAGAAAGAGAAGAATATTATCTCAAAAATAATATTGTATCCTCAGAAGTCCAAATTAGCAAATACATGCATGCTGAATTTCCTTGATTTGTTTGGGCCAAAAGAATAAAGGATATCCAAAATGCATATTGGACCTTTGGTTTCCAATATTTGCATTTTACGAGGGCAAGAATGCAATGACGGATTTAGCCCAACTGTTGGTGCAAGACATATATGAAGCCTTATGTCCCAATCGATTGGGTTTACTTTTGAGATAATTCCCTGAATCATTCAAGTTGTGCCCTTTCAGCCTCAGCCATTCACTACGTGTACACTAGCTACTGGCCAGGGTTTCATAATTTATAGTTTTACAATTTTGGTTGGTACCGTTGTCTAATTTTTTATTTTTTTTAAAAATATAAAAGATTACAAATATTATTGCAATGAGAATTGAACCTAGGTCCTCATAATCCCAAGTCTCTAGTAGTTGTTTGATTTTATTTTGATTGTTTACATACTTTTTTTTTTTAATTTAATGAAGATATATTGATAATGTAAACTAATTTTATATTATCATCTAATTATACGTTATATAAATAATAAATTTGTTAAATTTATAATTATTATCTAAAAATTATACAAATTCTGATTTTTGATTTGTTTATTATATAAAATTTTTTATATTAAGAACACATTTGATATGTCAAATATTTTTATTTTTTTTAATAATTTTAAATTGAGGATCTTGATTTTTTTTTTATATTTGGTAGTAATTTTTTGGAAATTATTTTTATCTTATTTTTCCACAAAAACAATCTAATGAAAGAATGAAAATTTAACCTTTTAGAACTAGAAAACAAATTATATATATAAAAAATCATAATATCCTTTTTCAAAACATAAAATCTCTCTTTTTTTCTTTTTTTATTTTTCTTTTTTCTTCTCTCTATGTCATTCTCATTGTCCCTTTCTCTCTCTCCCATATAGCCATATCTCTATATCTCTTTCTTGCATTTTATTTTATTTTATATTAATTTTATCAATTTTAATAATATTATTAAAATCTATTTTATTTTTATAATTTAATAATATTTGTTAATACTTTATTTATTTATTTATTATTTGAATGAAATAAAATAATATATTTTTATACGTAATATTTTATATATATTTCTTTTATTGAATTTTATATTTAAATAATTTGATATAAGTAGGTGAATTATTAATAGTTGATATTAGTTAAATGAATGATGTATGAATATGAGCTAACTAACTAGCGTGTTTGTGAAGTCAGAATGACGATGCAGTATGCAGCATAACCCGACAAGGTTTCCCTAATACATGGGAAGACATATTTGGCAGAAGCTTGGCCGTTAGATTCAAATAATCTCCATCTGTCGGTGAGATCTATCATTTGTTTTGTTGCGTCTTTCAATTTTAAGGTTTCATTAATATCCATGTTGCCCCCACACCCACACTACTCTCAACTCTGTAACTGTTCGTTGCAATACACATGTCCACCACTCACTTCTCCATCGCTTTCCTCTCAACAAATCATGTAATGGATTAAGGTCTGTTTCATTAAATTCTATTTTTCAGAATTTAAATATCACAACTCAACATTTTTATTCTAAATAAATATTTCTTTTATGTAGCCAAAAATATTTGTTGCAACAAAAAAAAAAAAAAAGCTTTTAGAATACCTAAAGGTCACACGATCTGACTTTCAAATCAATGCATTTATAGATGGCTAAAAATATTCAGGCTAAAGGAAATGCAAAGTGAAAAAAAAATGTCTGTATTACATCAATAGTGTAAAAAATATCTACATTATCATCTAACCATAGATTATTATATATAATAAGGTTATTGACTTTTATAATATTTTTAACAATCATATCTAAAAAGTTAAATTGATTAATAAGGCTTGTGAAAGAAGTGTAATTTTCCATTATGAAAATTAAATTATCCTTTGTTGTAAGAATTGAAGGTGATAATTACTGCAAGGGGTGTAAGTCAATCTGCATTCTGCAAAGTGCGTGAGCTGTTCTAATGTTCTATGGTGGTAATAATTATTAAGATTTTGGTATTTGTAACATATAACAAAATGAAACGTTTTGTTTATAAAAGGAATAGATATTGATATTGTATAATGAAGCCATTGAATATTCGGTGGCAATAGGGATGATTGGATAAGGAGAATAGATGGGGTGGACTGAATAAATCAAGTGGGCCAAAGGAGACAAATAGCTCAGTGGCGTAAATAAGGTCAGTAATCGTTAAACATTTTCAATTTAATAATTTTATAATCACTGTTATATATGTTTTAGAGAAATATATTATACATTAATTTAAAATTTATTGAATAATTATTAAAATATATTTTAAAAAATTATAAACTAAATATATTTGATAAAAAAAAATTAATTTAATAATTAATTATTTTGGGAAGCTAATAATTAAATTATTAAAATTTAATATATATTTAATTTTATTAAGTAAAGTAACTTCATGTCCATTTTATATATATATATATATTTGTGTGGGGGGAGGAGAGAGGAGGTGGTGGGGATAATTTAATTCATCAATTATTCAAGTTAAGTCGAATTGAATAATGGCAAAGTTAGAATCGACCGGATTTGACAATTTCAAATCAACTTTACCCAATAACTTAATCAACCCATTCATTTTTAGCTTAGATTAAGTTGAATTGGAGTATATAAATCACATTTTATTATATAAATTATTAATGTTAGTTAATTTAATCTTTAATTTTACAGAAATTTTATTTATTTATATATTTTTTAGTCTAAAATATCAATAAAAGTTGAAAGAATAATAAATTATAAATAACTATTTAAAAAAATAGAAAAATATAAATAATTTTTCATTTTTTTCTTCTTTCATTTTCATGTGTTCTAATTTCTCATATGATATTGTTTATATTATAGAAAGAGTTATTATAGGTTTATTTTTGTATATTTAACACATATATTTAGACTCAAATTTGAGCTTATGTTTACTTACGGTTCATATTAACTCGATTTTAAATCAGAAAAAAATATTAATTACTTTTGGTACGTTATGATATAAAAATTTGAAAAATATAAATTAACTATAGAGTAGCAATACATGCATTGAAATTATTGATCAAATTGAAATAATATTATGTAGTTGATCCATGTGTTTTATGGATTAGCAACCTTATTTAGTCGTGTTTAAAAAAACAGAAAATAAAAGCACTTATGTGAGTGTTATATCATGCGATGTGTGTGAGAAAAGATGAGAGTGGGAGGGGTTGTGTTAGTGTGTGATGGACTTTGAATAAATTATGTAGATAATATTTCGTAGATAATTAAATATTATTTATGGAAAAATTTCCGTAAATAATATTTCATAAATAATAACAGTTTTTTTTGTAGTGTAGTGTAGAGAGGTGAGAAACAAATGCTATATATTGAGTATGCAAATGGTTGTGTGTGGCGTGAAATGAGGGTCATAGTGTGAGACAAAATGTCAATAGATATCTAAACTTATATTCTATTCTCATTTCTCTCGTGAGATAAAATAATAATAAAAAAATTATCTATTTAGCTTCTAAAAATATTATTTATATGATTTTCTTATTTCAAGAACTATTTAAAAGAATATATATTGTGATTGTTTATTTTTAGTGGAATTGCATTTTATTTTTATGGCTTTCACGATACTGCAAAACTCAGCATTTTCTATCTTAACAAAGTCGATTTTTTTTTTTTACTGAAAATAATGTCGATTACTACTTACTAGTTAGTCCTTTGATTGATTAACAACAATCTATTTTTGAATTGAATTATAGCATTAGATGCTTTTAACTGAAATAGACAACATTGATATTAAAGGGCATAATGAAAAAAATTATGATATAACAAAATTAAATCACAATCAATATAGTGACTGCGCACCACGTTGCAACAGAAAGTAATTGAATGATGCGCGTGATCCATTTAAAGTTCACACCTATTTTAATTAGATTAAAGTTTAATTCTAATTTGCCTTTTTTACACATCGTTTAACTTACATGGTTAAAGGAAAAGAATAAAATAAAAAATAAAAATTGACGAATAGGTTGTTTTCAAAATAAATGCTCGTGTGCGATGGTGATGAATAAGATAACTATTATTTATTTTTATTTTTTACGCTCCTATTTTTATTTAATTGTGAAAATGACTTGAGGAAACTCTAAATCTATTTATATGGAATCTTTTAAGATCTTGGACTCCAGCCTCTTTAATAATAATAATAATAATAAAACATGTTTGAAAAAAGAGATTTTATTAAAAAATAGTCAATAAAATTTTTAAATAAAAATTATTGTTGATAAATTCGTTAAACATTTTACAGCAATAACATAATTAAAAAGATATAACATAAAATTTGTATGATAATATATAAGTGATATAATGTGATAGAAAAAAGAAAAAGAAAAATAACAAAAATTAATAAGATATTTAGTATATATAAATGAGTGTTGATGTATTATTACTCTTAAATTATTCATAGTATTTATCGCTCTGTGATTCTTAATTTCATTCTCTTTTTACTCTTTCTTCTGAATGCATGTGTATATATACTCCTAATTCAAGATGTGCGGGAAAAAGAATCTTGTATGAAAAGAAAAATAAAGTAATTTAAAATCATTTAACAATATATATTATTTATATGTACTTAACACAGTACATATGCATATAGAAAGCAAGATGTAAGAAAGGAAACATTCTCCACACAGTCCCAAAATAAAGAGGAAGATAATTTAACACACATAGAAGGCAAAAGCATACATAAGAGAAGAGAAATTATAAGTAGAAGGAATATGGATTATGTGTTTGGAGTTGGATCAGCCAAAGAAGTGGTGCTTCTTCTTTCCATGAGCTTCCTCATCCTGCTCTTTTGCTTCCTTTTTCTCATGATGCTCATGAAAGGCAAACCCACCAGCTCCCACTGCTGCTGCTGCTGCAACCTCCTCTTCTATCTTGTGCTTGTGAGCATGCTCTGGGTCTTTCTCTGCCTTGTGCTTCTCATGCTATCAAACCAAATATCAATTTTAACTTTGCTTTCAAACCATTAGGTCAAAATTTAAAGGTTATATTAAAACTCTGTTCATCACTCTATCCATAAATATTTAATAAATTTACTTATCTATTTATCAAAAGAGAAATACACACAAAATCTTATGTTTAAACAAGTTTAATTCTCACATATCATTAATATTTTTTTTTTATAAGCAAATGTTAGTAAAAAAATTCGAACTCACTCCCTTCTTATTACACACATCATTAATTAAAATTAAATCAAATTAATCATTATGTAATATTAAATTATATTGTAAAAATTATTTATAATATCAATCAGAGGTAATAACAGTATAAGTTATTCAGTTTGACTTGACACATCTAATAAGATTTGTGAGCTATAGAGACCCAGTAGAATGCATAAGGGAAAAAAAAAAAGTTGAATTTAGTAGAATGCATAAGAAAAAAAAAAAGATGAATTTTATATAATTTTCTAAAATGAAGTTAAAGCTCTTAAAAAAATTTGTGACATTTTACTAGTTAAGTTCTAATTAAACTATAGTTGAACTAAATTAAAAAAAAATTATATTTAATTTAAAATTCAAGTTTTATTGGAAAGATTTGGATCAACATGTTTCACTCGGTCATTTTATCACAAGTTTATTATAATTAAATTCTATTTAAATTTGAAATGAGAGGATATATAAACTCTATGCTTATGGATAAAATGTTGACATACAATCACTTTATTTTTCATCTCACTTTTATTCCAATTTTCCCTTTACTTCTCTCTTCAATTCTCATATCATATGGTTTGACATATCTTTTACTCTCTCTCTCTCCTTATTTTAATTTTTTTCACTCATACACTCCATTTTTTTTAACTTGGTATGATATAAAAGGTGGGAAAAAAGGAAATAATAATGGTAAAGAAAGTTACCAAGGCGTAAGCACCAGCAGCTGCAGCACCTAACTCACCAAGGTGCTCAAGGTGCTTGTGATGCTTCTCCTCCTTCTTGTAGTCAACCTCATCACGCCGATCAGTATCATCGCCGTAACCACCACTTGTTTTGGTGTAGCCACCCACAGCGGTGGTCTCGGAGTATCCACCACCACCATAGCCACCAGAAGGCTCATCAGAGGAGTATGTGGTTTTGTTGTAACCAGCTTCATAGCCTCCACCACCGGAAGGGTCATCAGAAGAATATGAAGTTTTGTTGTAACCAGTTTCATAGGCACCAACACCACCAGAAGTCTCGTATGATGGCTTGTTGAAGCCAGAGTCGTAGTCATCGGCAGTCTCAGTTTCTATGGGGTTCTTGTCCTCATCATCCTTGTGGTGGTGGAAGAGGTGGTGGTGGTGTTTCTCTTCGGACATGGTGAATACAACAAATAGATTAAGTGGTTTAGGAAATGGGATGTGTGAAATTAGGGAAGGACTAGTTACCTATTTATAAAGTCGTCCTGATCATGCTAGACATGCTGCTTTGCTTAAGTTCCTGCTTTATTTGGTAGGGCCTTAAATGATCTTGTGGAAGATTGCAAATTCAGTTGCCTCCTATGCTTTTACATTTTTTCTTTTCTTTTTTACTGTGCATTTATACTGTTTAACTTTGTAAGTATCCATTTATATATATATATAAATTCATATCCATCTTTTTATTCTAACAATCTTTCACTTTAATTGTATTTCACTAATTTTCACGTCATTCTGACCTGTACTGTTACTTGTTGCCAACAAACTAAAAGAATTTTAAAAGAGAAAAATAACCCCGTCTATATATGAAATGACTTGTTAATTTGTTTCGATATTACATTTTAATTTTATTATTTTTAGTTCATAAATAAAAATTAACTTATTTTTAATTTCTCACTAAGCGTCAGAGATGAAAAGAAAAGCATGATTTTGTAATTTTTAAAGATTAAAAATATAAAATAAAAAAATTATACGAGAAGCTAGTCATTTTAAAAAATGCTTTTGGCAATAAAAATATACTTAATCCATTTTTTCCAGTTTTGTTATTGAATAGAATATCTTTACAAAATTATTAATCTATATATTTTTGTGTCTTCACAATTGAAATAAAAATGAAACTTATAATTGTGGTTTTGAAAAAGGACAGCACTATATGAGTACGACAAGGATGATAGCAGGTCCAGGAATTACTGATTTAAGGTAGATACAAGTTATTGTTTTAATAATAAAATATTATTAAATGTTAATATTTAAAATGATTAATTAATTAAAAATTATTAATGTTGGAGTTCGAATGTGAAATGAGTCATACATTGATTTAAAGTTTGGTATGTTGAGTAATATATAAGTGAGAAATATTTACGTAATGTCTTAAGATTTTGAGTTAAGACATGACGTCAAACTCAGTTGTATGATTTACTCATTACTTATAGATAAAGTATTCTTTGGTATTTTAATTCCACAACCCAACAGTAGTATCAGAGTCCTGATAGTTTAAACAAGTGACTAGTGATTGACTTAGAAGAGTATTAACCAATAAAATTGATGATGGATCCAAGAGTGTGATTAGAGTTGTCAAAACAGGTTAGTCTGGCCCATTTGACCCTACCCACCTCAACCCACTTTTAAGTGGGTTGACCCGACCCGACCCACCAAATTTGTCGCCCAAAATTTCCTAACTTGGCCCGGTCCACCACGAGTTGATGGGTTAAACGGGTCAACCCACCAATCCACCTAATTATTTAAAAAAATAATTTAAAATAAACTCCAATATAAAATAATCTCTAATCTAAAGTAAAATTATCAAACTAAGTATCATACATACAACATTAAACTTAAATTAAAAAAGTGTATAACTTTAAAAAATCAAAACAAAAAAAAAATCTTTCATGAGAGTGATTATTCATCAATATTAAATTTTATTGAAGATTTGTATAGATAAATTTATAGCAATTTCATGTTGTTTAACATTGACTTAGTCTATAAAAAAATGATATCTTGTTAAAATAATGCATGTATAATAATAAATAGTTAAGTGGGTTGGGTTAATAGGGGTGTAAGTGGGTTAGGTGGGCAGTTCGGCCCACCACGGGCTCAACCCGAGTGGGCCAGGTCAAAAGTGGATTGGGTTACATTTTTTGACCCATTATGATTTTTTTTCATTCTTTTAGCCTGGCCCAACCCGTTTTCAAGATGGCTAACAACGATGCAAGTAGGCCACCAATGAACTTGTGAATCGAAAAAGAAAAAAAAAAAGACTTTTGCTTAAAGAGTAAATGTGACCACATGGAAGAGATTCACACTTAAGGAAAAACATTAGAGTTCAAGTGTGAAATAAGTCTCATATCAATTAGAGTTAGACATGTTGATTAGTGACATATAAGTGAGAAGGACATACATATTTAATGTCTTAAGATTTTGGATTATGATATGACGTCAAGTTCACTTATGTAACTTACTCACTACCCATAGATAGAGTGTTCCTCGATGTCTAAGTCCCTGACCCAACAATCAGAGTTAGGGTTGACAGATGAATATATTTATTCATCATCCATTCAATCCATCCACAAGTAAAACCATCAAATTTATCTATTACAATAAAAATAAATAATAAATCAAATCCAATCCATCCATTTAATTTTTATGGATAGTGATTCATCCACTATCTTTTCAAAATCTATTGGATTACATATGGGATATTTATTGAATTGATATTTTAAAAGGTTGTTTTGACATAAAAAAAAAAGTTTTCTGATTTTAAAAGACAAAATAAGAATGTGATGACTTGTAAAGAAAAGAAAGAGAAATAAAATATTTTTAAAAATATAAATTATCTAATTTTTAAAAATTACTTGTTAGAAATATAAATTATCTAATTTTTAAAAATTACTTGTATGGATGGATTGAATACCCATCCATGAAAAAAATTGTTAATAAATGAATTTGATGGATTTAATATTTATGTGACCTTTTAATAGATTTAAATAAATAAGTTATTTTTATCTAATCTATTATAATTTGCCCAAAAAAGATATCTAATCTATCCATTTATCATCCTTAATCAAAGTCGATAATTCGATCAAGTGACTAGTGATCAACTTATATGGATATTGATTAATGAAATCAATTGTGACTTGTGGATGCAAGAGTGAAATGATGTAGGATCCAAAAGTAAGATTATCCTTGTATAAAAAATTATTTCTAGAGGTGTGATATATCTTAGCGTTTTATTTTTATGTAAATTTACCTATTTAATATTATAATATTTAATTTTTATTTTTTAATATTTTTCCTTAAACAAAAGTTACCTATTTAATATTATAATATTTAATTTTTATTTTTTAATATTTTTCCTTAAACAAAAGTTACCTATTTAATATTATAATATTTAATTTTTATTTTTTAATATTTTTCCTTAAACAAAAGTTACCTATTTAATATTATAATATTTAATTTTTATTTTTTAATATTTTTCCTTAAACAAAAGTTACCTATTTAATATTATAATATTTAATTTTTATTTTTTAATATTTTTCCTTAAACAAAAGTTACCTATTTAATATTATAATATTTAATTTTTATTTTTTAATATTTTTCCTTAAACAAAAGTTACCTATTTAATATTATAATATTTAATTTTTATTTTTTAATATTTTTTCCTTAAACAAAAGTTACAAGAGTTCAAAGTTAACTTAAAAGTTAAAGTTATAATCATCTAAAGATATATCATTGTTTATAAAATAAAATATAATAAAAAATATATTAATTTCTTTTAGTTTCCTTGTTACTCTCATTTAATATATTTTTTTTATTTTTTTGTAGAGAAATTTTAAATTTTTCTATATATAAATTATTAGAAACGGTTTAATAATGAGAGGTTATAATAATATGTGTAAAATTTTAAGTTTAAATTTTGATATCATCATTATAATTTGTATGGATAAAAAAAATCACTATTGATAAAATTATATATATAGAGAGAGAACGAAATTGAAATAATAAAATTTTCACAAATAAATATTAGTCAATTTTGTATATTTTAGATATTTAAAAATTATTAATACTTCTTATATCAACATTGATAAAAAGGCGAGGGAGAGAGAGGGAAAAAAGAGGAAAAATGAAGGAGAGAAGTCAGCAGTAGATGAGAGAAATAGAGAGGAAAAAAAATAGAAGAAATAAGAGTGAGGGAGAGAAAAGAGAAAAAACGTATGAAAAGAGAGAGAAGGGGGAGATTGAAGAGAGAATCAAGCAAGAAAAGGAGAAAGTAAAAAAAAAAAAAAAAAAAAAGAAGAGAGGGGGAAATAAAAAAAAAAAAAAAGAAAAAAAAGGAAAAAGAAAAAAAAAAAAAAAAAAAAAGAGAGGGGAAATGGAAGAGAAAAAAGAGAGAAAAAAGTAAAAGATGGAAGAGAGAGAAACTTCTAAATATTGAGTAATTTAGTAAAATTAGGAAATTTTACAATTCTTGAGTGATCAAACTACTTTTATAAATTGTTTTTCAATTTTTTAAAATAAATTATTTATCTAATAAAAACATTTTAAATTAACAAAAAAGTAATATTTTCTTAAAATTTCTCGTGAAAACACGTGATTTTTGTAATCAATTTCTTCCATCTACTTTGCAATTCGTTATTTTTATCACTATGCAACACAAGAAACACCAAAACTTTTTGGATTTTTCGGACAAAATTGTTCATCTTAATCTCTAAATGAGTTTTTTTATACACTCATAAAATGTATTTTTTTCTTCAAAATTTATAATGTTGTATAATTAGGATAGGAGAATTGTTATCATGGAAGAGTTAAAAATTTTGGTTTCTTCTTTATCTATCCTTATACTTGTTTTTTTGTTGGTTAGAAGAAAAAGTGGTGCAGTAGATGCAAATTTATGTTTGATTTTTATTGTTGAATTTATAATTTTTTTTATGAATAAAAAACACCATTTCTTTGTTGTAATCTCTATTTTTGTCCATTTGTTTTCTTTATATTGAAATATTAAAGTTTTCTGTTTACTACTATTTCAGCTACATATAGAGTGAGTATAGGAATAACAAGTCATACATGTTTTTTTGGAGCTAAAGGAAGAAAATAATGGGATATTAAGCGTATTTATATAATAAAGGCTTCTTTAGCATGGATTTAAATCCTTTCAATAATTTTTCAATATTATTTAAACCTTAAACTCATTAGCTTATTTAAGACACAAGTAGAACTTGTGTTAGCATGTGTAGTACTACATAACTTTATTTATAAAAAATATCGTTTTGATGATTTTTAATTGGAGCAGTAGACGAATCTTCACATTCCTAATTTAAAGTCTTACAAAATCTTGCAAAATTTAAAAGTCATAAAAATCTTACAAAATATTTTAAAATTCACAAAAAAAAATTTAACTAAAAAAATCTTAAAAATTATAATTCAATACATCTGCCTTAATTATATTATTAGTATAAAAATCTATTACAATGACTATTTTATACCAATACTTTAAAATAACATTTTTTTAAAGATATCATTGATAGAAATATTTAATTTAATTTTTAGACTTTAATTATATTAAAATTATTACTCTCAACATCTTTTTTTTTTTTTTTTTTTTTTTTTTTTTTTTTAAATCATCCTTGTCGGTTATAAACAACACCCATGTCCATCTAGTATAGTCATCAACAATGACTAGTCCATATCTTTTACCGCTAACAGATGCAGTCCTAGTGAGACTGAATAGATCCATGTGGAGCAGTTCAAGAGGTCTTGAGGTGGAAACGGGATTTTTACTTTCAAATGAATTTTTAACTTGTTTCCCCTTTTGACATTCTTGACATAAGCTATTCATCTAGTACACAAGACTTGGTAGACCTCTTACGAGGTTGTGCTTTTTCACCTTTGAGATTAATCTCAGGCTTGCATGACCAAGTTTCTTATGCCATAAATACTGGTTTTCATAGGATACCAGACAATAATCATTTTGATTTTCTAGTTCATTAGGGATTATTTTGTACAATTTATTTCATCTGTTAGCTAAAAATAATATTGATGAATCAGTTTAACTAACAGTACATTTATTTTTGTTGAAGGAAACTTCGTAACCACTGTCACATAATTGACTTATGCTCAGCAGGTTATGTGTTAATCCTTTAAAATATAGGACGTTATCAATGGTGGTGGACGAATTTATACCTATTTTACCTATCCCCATGATTTTTCCTTTTTTCCCTCCTCTGAATGTGACTAGGCCTCCTTACTTGGACTTGAGGTCTAGGAACATAGACCTTTCGCCCGTCATGTGTCGTGAGCAGCCACTATCCAGGTACCATGATTGGACACTTCTTTTTCGTGTTGAACAAACCTGCAATAGGTATTATTTCATTCTTTGGTACCCAAATGGATTTAGGTCAATAAGTGTTAGAGTTTGAGGTTTTGGAATACCCCTTCTTGTGCATGTGACTGCATGTAGGCGTGATATGCCCATGCTTTCCATAAGTAGGACATGCAAATGTACTTGATTTGTTTTCTGATTCAGAATCAACATATCCCAATCCAGACTTGTCATTTTTTCTCTTAGAGTATCTCAAAAGATTTTCAAGGTTCTTAGTCCCCAGAGTGAACTTTGATAAATCAGATTTTAGAGACTCAATTTCTTTGTTCAGCAATTTTGTTTCTTTAAGACCTTTTTCTGAGTCTTTTGATAATTTTTCATTTTCATTTTTGAGTAAAAGATTTTCTTCAAGTAGTTCAGAAATTCTTTTCTTCTGTTCTTTATATGCTATAGAGATTTTAGCTGAATCAGTTAGAAGCTGATTATATGCATGCTGAAGATCTTTGAAATCAGATTCACTAACCTCTTCATCATCAGATTCATATGATGAGTTTTTGTCTACCATGAGGCATATGTTTGCTTGTTCATCATCTTCAGATGATGTAGTGTATAGGTCTTCCCAGGTGGCCATCATGGCTTTCTTCTTCTTGTGGAAAGTTGACTTCTTCTTTTCTTTCTCCTTTTCTTTTTCTAGATCTGGACATTCTGTTTTGTAATGTCCTGGTTTCTTGCACTCATAGCACAGTGGTTGTTCCTTTTCTCTTGGAGTTTTGTTGTATTTTCTCCAGCGTGACCCTCCATTTTTCTTCATCATAGAATATATTTTTCTAGTCAATAGGGATAGCTCATTATCGGAGTCACATGTCTCTTCGTCATAGCTTTCATCGGACACTTCTTCTGCCTTTAAGGCTTTTGATTATGATGATGTAGGTTTCGTCTTTTGCACGCTTAGTGCAATGGACTTTTGTTTTCTTCCTGTTTAATTTTTTTTTTTATCTTATTCAAGATTGATCTTAAAACTTAGATGTTAACCGCAACATCGATTAAATAAAATTAAAACATATTTAACATCTTAAATATCCATGAAGTTATCCCTAAATAATAGTGCGAAAAAGAAAGGTTAGATTGTTTAAATAGGCGATATTTTTTTGGTTAGATAATTCTAGAACTTATAGTTAAAAAAACTAGTGATTCAGACCCATAGGGAGAAAGAAGTGGGACAAAACATTTAATGATTATGTTGAAAAATAATGCAAAGGAAAAATAAAAGAAAAAGAAAAGAAAGCGGATAAGATAGGCGGTGATTGGGTGGGACCTGTTTGAATGGCAGTTGTTAGTTCAACTGTTTGGTTTGTGTCGGCAACAAAGGACATTCCATCTCATTAGTTTAAGCATATTCTTTTCAACACAAAACAAATATAAAAACATAATTTTATTTCTCTTATATAATTAACCTAAGAAATTTTACATTATCTGACAATTAATAATATATTAAATATTATATTTTAAATAATTAAGTATTTTTAATTATATAACTCTTCACAATTAATTTATAACTAATTTATAATTAGCATTTTTGTGTGTATTACATAAAATAAATATTTATTTTTATACAGTTATAATTTAATAATGAATAAATATTTTAAATATATAAATTATATTATAATTAAATCTCATAATAAACAATTTATATTATAATGCAACTGTATTTTTATTATTGATAATTCTTTAAAAATATTTGTTTCTATATATTAAATATGATTGTTTATTTTGTATTAGAATGTTTTTAAGAATTTTTTATTTTTAAAATTTTAAATTTTTTAAAATACATTATGTAATAATTAAAAATAATATCATGTCACGATGCTTATTGTTAAATTTATCTGGAATCTAAAATATAATATATGTTATAAAATATTTATTTATATAAATTTTAAATATAATTTATATATTTAAATATAATATTTATTATTTTTATATGTAGTTTATTATAAACTTTGCTTACATATAATAAACATTTTTATTTGTGTAGTGTACAAGTTAAAATACTAGTTTGAAACTTATTATAAAACTAAAACAAAAAATAAATTAAAAGATAAGAGGTTGAAAAAATATCGAAAATACTCTCATTAAAAAAAATTAGTTAAAAAAACTCAAATGAAAAGGTCCTAAAAACAATTTTATACAAAAAAATATTATAATTTATATGTAGAGAGGAATGTGAAAAATTGTTTTTAATTTTAATTAAATTAAATTTTCTTTTGCCAAGACATATATATGCTAGTTTCTTGTGAATAAATAAAAAGTAATTTATGCACAATTAGATTTTTTGTTATTTAAAAAATATTTAAGATTAATATAAAAATAAAGGTTGTCTATAAATCAAAACTCAAAAAAAAAAAAAACACACACACACATCAAATCTAGGCTGTCACACAAAACCATAGTTAGAAAAAAAAATTGCGACATCGGAAAGTCTTTTATGGCCATACACTTGTAATATTAAGAGGTTAGTTGTGAATTAAAAAATAATTTAATTTTAATTTTCAGCTGGAAAAGGACTGATTTTAATATATAGAACAATAATGTAAATTATTATGGTTATTATTATTTTATTATCGATGAATATTTTCTGTTAAATATAAGAACAATCTTTTCTTGAGATTTGACATGCATTAAATAAGTAGATATTTTTTTATAATTTAAAATTTTATTTTTATAAGAATCAGAATTCAAATTTTAACTATTTATTGTCACTTATGTCAACTCAAGTCTGGCAGTTATTGTTATTATTTATTTTTGTATTATCATATTATTAAAAATTAAAATCCAAACTTTATGGCAACTATCTAAAATATTAAAAACTTTTACCAAAACAATAATATATAATAACAAACTAATATAAGAGACATTCACTTTATAATACTTTAAAAATTAAAGGTATGTGATTCTGAATCCAAAACTTGTAAAAACTTAAATGTATGAAAATATTAGTGAAAATGAAAAGTTTATAATAAATGGATGCGAAGGAATCGTGGTTGGGGTGGCGTTTTCGTGATATTTGGCGTATGGTTGTGACAGTTGAATTAATTGTTTGGCAAGAGTGTGTGTGCCCAAATTCAGCCACGTGCTATCGCCACGTTTTATCACTCACCTAATCTCCTCGATTTAACGAGGCTGCATACAGCAGGCAGGATTCGAATCCCTGACATTGCTTAAGCGTGGATCAACCCCTACCGTTGAACCACACGTTTGGGGTTATGTGAACCCAAGATTAAGTTTGTGTTTGTTTATAGAAAACAAATAAAAAATGAATATTTTGTAGGTTTTTTTTATAGATTTTGTTCACACAATATTTTAAAATTAATAATTAAAAATTAATATATTTATAAAATATATTTTTTACTCATTAATCATTATTTGATAAAAAAATAAAAAAAAATAATAAACACACCCTTACTAAAAATAATGACATAAATATTTTTAAAAATAAAAATAAAAGTAATATAATTTAAGTGATAAATATTTTAATGATTTGAAAATTTAATGTATATTTAATTATAATATTATAAAAATAAAATTTGAGAAAAGTTAATTTTATATACATAAATGATTTTGAAAGCTATATTCACATTCCGTTTTTATTATGTATCTTTTATTACTATTAGAATGGAATTAAATAGTTGAATTTACATGATAGTTATTTTAGTTACATTTAGGAAACGAGGTAGTAATTAAGTAATAACTAAAAGAAAACAAAAACTTGGAGACAGACTCGCCACAAGTTTATTTTAGAAGGATTAAGGAATTTCATGTAAAATTTGACTCACATTTTGATAAGCTAAATTTTACAAAGTTAACTTTGATTCGAGTTTATTAGTTTATAAATTAAATATAAATATAACTAAAAGAATTACACAAACATATGTACAATAATCTTATAAATATAGAATATAAAATTCAAAGTCGTGAGTCAAACGATGTCTATACAAATCATAAAGAATAGTCTAAGATTATTTTACCAAAATATATGGCCCAACATAAGCTTTCACAGCTCAACTCTAGCTAACTTTGTCCTACTCTCATAACAATCATGATCGTCACAATTTCAACCACAAGGAAAACATGCAAGAGTAACCTATTACACTTACTCACTATAAGCGACTCTCATGGGTGTTTTAAGCGAGAGGACCCAAAAACTTGCATATTCAAAGTTTAAGAACACCAACCCAGTAACATACTTCTATAAACCAATATCCACCCAACCCATACATCAATTTGTGCATACAACTCAATCATTCATACATATATCATCTCAACAACTCATTTTACCTTAACATCACCACGTGCAATAACAAACTCTTTCAAAATCTTCAAAATCATCTCAACCACATCAATAACAACCAAAGCCCTCCCATTCATCATGAAATCTTGAAATTTTCAACCATACCCTCATGCATTTTCAAAACCAATAACAAACCATTCAACCATCTCATTCATAATCAATCCTAACTTCCCTTACCTTGACAATTGCACCAAGATGATAAGGAGAAGAGAAAAAGGGAATCGAGCTCTTCGAAGAACTATGCATGATACTGGGGTAGATTCAAGTTTCTTAACCTAAATCAAGATACATAATAAGAGATAAGAAATCCCGGGAAAATGATCTACCAATTAAGAGAAGGTTTAGGAAAAACGAAAGACTCACTAAACTAGAGTTTTTCTCTTTGAACTATCTTTCTAGAATTTTATAGAGCTATAAACTCATAAAACTCAATTCCAAAAGAAAATCTTATATTCTACCTCTCCCTCAAGGTCAATTAAAACTCTGACTAAAAACCCTTACAACACACATCACTTACCTAGGTACAATGTCATAGACAACTTTTAGGCACTACTAGATCTATCTAATCTTAAAAATGATATTTGATGTCCTTCACTCCAAATTATTCTCTTCCTCAAATAAAACTTTTTAATTCACTAGTACAAAAGAGGTGTACTACGTCGGATATTTTAGGCTTTTTACGTCAGAAAACGTACCGACGTAGAAGCGGGAGACGTAAATTTTACGTCAGACCTGCAAACCCGACGTAAATTTACGTCGGACATTACGAAATCCGACGTAAAAAGTAGTAAAAAAACAAAAAAAAACATAAGAACGCAGGGAGAACGGCCTGTTCTTCAATCAGAACGGCCCGTTCTGCCTGCAGAACGGGCCGTTCTACTTGCAGAACAAGCCATTCTGCTTCGTAGAACAAAAAAAAAAAAAAAACGCCCACTACCTATACAAATAAAACAACCAAAAAATCGAATAAAACAGATAACCAGAGTAGCAATGCTAAGTAAAAAAGTGCTAACGAAACCTTGTTTCATACCTGAGGAGCAGCAACAATGTGTAAATGAGTAACAAAGAGTTCATCTCTCTGCAAAAAATAAAAAAATGATTCAGTAACAAAGGAGAGGGAGAGAGTTTACAGAGAAAAAAACGAAAAGTGATGAAAAGTGAATGCGCACGGTGTGCCTCGCACTCTCTTATTCAAATTTGCGTCTTTTTTACGTCGGACCTGGTAGGGTCCGACGTAAAATGTCAAATCTACGTCGGACGAACATACCTCCGACGTAGATTGGACTTTTTACGTCAGACTCTACCAGGTGCGACGTAAAAAAGCTCGCAAAAATTATAAAAATGCCACCACATTTTTTTTACGTCGGATTTTCGTATTTTCAACGTAAAAGGGGTGACGTAATATGCTTATTTTCTACTAGTGATTGTTACTTTGTATATTATGCACTGAACGTGATTTCTAGTAGTAGTGTCACCTTTTGTCTTCTTCTCATGTTTGTCTCTCTTTTCACATCTTCATTGTTCCAACCACCACCATCTTTTGTTGTCGTTTTTTTGACTATTATTATTCTTATTTGATGAGCTTGCAAAAACTTATGTGGACATATGATTTTCGGAGTTTTCATTAACATGGATGCACTTGTGCAAATAGCCAAAGGAGATTACATGCTTGACAATATGGCAGAGGTTGTAGATAGTGTAAAAAAATATGAGATTGACCTCATGGCTGTTGGTGATGGAGTGACAATTAATGGAGGCAGTGTTGGCACTATTAAAGTTAATGAAAAAAATATTTTTTTAGTCATTGTCAATGGTGGTGTCATGATGGAGTTTTGGTGAGGAAGAGGATGGAAGGTTTTTTCGTCACTGGATTTCATCCACCACTTAGATGTACTGATCTAAGTCTGACCATGGTAAAGGCGTCAACATAAACTGTGTCCAAGAGGTCGAAGTTGAAGAAGGGGAAGGGATGATAGGTGGGGAAGTAAAATGACCAATATGAAAACAAAAAATTACGATATGTTAAAGTTAACAGACCATAATACACCATATGAAATGATTGATCACTTTAGTCCTTATTTATTCATGTATCCGCACTATGTTTTATTTCTTGGGATTTTGTGCCCAATACTTTTTTGGCGATTAATTTTTTATTTTTATTATATATTTTTTTTGTGTCTATAATATTTTCTATTATATTTTAGGTCCGGTACTTATGTTTTTGATCTTTATGCTTATTATTTTTATGTTTTCAGTCCTAGATGCTATATCGATTGTATTTGATATTTTTTTTGTTCTTGCACTCATTTCTTTTAATATTCTTTTGGTTTATGTGTTTTGTATCCTCTATGATTTCGTGTCTCTGCGCCTACGGTTCTATGTTTTGGGTTTGACATTCACGATTTTTTGTTGGATCTTTGTATCCACTATTTTATGTTTCAGGTTTTTGTGTCCACTATCTTTATATGTTTTTGTCCCCACACATGACACATCACTGTTCTATGGTTTTGATTCTCACACCCCCCTATTTTATTTTTCGGTCCATAACATAAGCCCATTATTTATATTTATATTTTGGATCCCTGCACGATGCACCCATTACTTTTATGTTTTTCATAACTGTACCCACTTTTGCTATCTCTTAGGTTCCAACACCCATTATTTTATACTTGTAAAAACCATATTTTGTGTCTTCGTATATTTTAAAAATATATAAAAAAATGAGTTAGGATTTTCAAAAACAAGTTTTTGAGTAAGTATAATTGTAAGGATAATTTTTTAAAAATAATAGAGAGAAAAAGAGTAGTTTTAAGAGATGATTATAAAAATAAGATGATCTAAAAAAAAAGTGTATATTAAATAGGATAATTTATTTTATTATTAATATAAATTACTGGTCACTGTCAATTAGGTTTGACCCTTCGATCAATTGAATTTTAGAATGTATGAATCGTAATAATTCAAAAATTTCTAAATCTAAGCATTATTGTTGAATGTTAGTAATTCCTTTTGGAGTTAAGTCAATTTATAAGTTATCAAAATTTTTTTAATTTTTTTTATCTTCAATAATTTATTTTAAATTTATTTTACCTCAAATAATTAAATTTGATTTTTATATTTTCAGCTAGTTTATTAATTAATTTTATAAAACACTTTTATTTAACGAGCTACCTTCGAAGCTTACAATTTTAAAACTCTTTTATAACTTAAAAACTTCCGCTGCTTATAAATTTTTAATTAGCTTATAGTTTCACCATACACGCAGCAATAATTTGTCCTCTAAAGTAACAGTATAAATACAGTAGAGGAGGTTTCGTCTTATTTTTTTTAATGAAAATATTGATATTCTTTAAAAATTAGGAATGAGTTTAAAAAACTCATTTTATAAAATAAAGTGCAAAATTATAGAATATTGATCGAAAAATAAAAGAATCTATTGACATGGTTGGTAATATATGTATTAAGGTCCAAACCTAAATTGGACTCTGAAACATTAAGCCCATAAGCAAAAGGGCATCCGTTATGTTGGGCGGGTGAGGCCCATTACCAAGCCCAGCCCATTATTAAGGTTTAGAAATATAAGAACCCTGTTCTGATAGTTTGAGGTTTTAGCCTAGGAGCCGTGTTCATCGACCGCGAGCCGCATCAGTCCCCTCAATCGTGAATCCCTGCGTTCAACATGGTACTTAATTTTGATGTTTCCCTCTCCTCCTTTTTTTCTCTAATTATCATATTCATATCTAGGGTATATGTTTTTGGTGTTTGAAAGTTTTCAGTTTCTCGTTTGAATGATCATAAAAATGTGAACTTTATTTGACCCGGTAGCCTGTGATTTGAAACCAAGAATTTTGAAACTGACCCTTGTCTTGTTTATGGTTACACGTGGTGGTAAAACTGTGTATTTGTAATTTTGATTTGTTCTATTTGAAACTGATCCTTGTCTTGTTTTATAGGCCCTTGTGGCAAATGAAGATTTTCAGCACATACTTCGTGTTTTGAACACGAACGTAGATGGGAAGCAGAAGATAATGTTCGCTCTTACCTCAATCAAAGGTATAGGGAGGCGATTTGCTAACATGGTTTGCAAGAAGGCTGATGTTGACATGAACAAAAGGTGTCCTTTCATTTCCTTATTTCATCATTGTTTGTTATCTTTGTTCATTGTTGCATAAGATTGTTGTGGCTTGGTTGGAATTTGCTTCTTCTAACTGTGAATTTGGTTTTTCATGCTTTGTGTTGAAATGTTTTTGGTTGTTTTGTTGGTAGAGCTGGTGAACTGAGCGCTGCTGAATTGGATAATCTCATGACTGTGGTTGCCAACCCTAGGCAGTTCAAGATTCCGGACTGGTTTTTGAACAGAAAGAAGGACTACAAGGATGGGAAGTATTCTCAGGTGGTGTCAAATGCATTGGACATGAAGTTGAGAGATGATTTGGAGAGACTCAAGAAAATCAGGTGATTAACAGTCGTCGATTTTTATTTAACTATAATTCAAAAACATGTTGAGATTGTTTTGTGCAAATCATTTTGTTTAATCTTGCAATGGTTAAATTGATATTGTCAACTCCAACAAGTTAGTTCTTCCAAACATTTTGAATTTAAGTATACTTAATGTCTGCTTATTGCCTTCAACAAACTAGCTTCTTTTTTGTCATTCATCAAATGCAAATGTTTTAAATTGCAAAAGTGTCAAATGATTTGTATGAGCATGAATTTAAATACACGATGTTCTCTTTCGTTGTTGCCATCACATAGTTGGGTGAAATGTTATTTAGATATATACCCTATGGATTTCATGTGTATGCCTTCGACACTATTGTCTTCATGTCAGGGTGTGTTATCATGGAGGGAAATGAAAAAAATAAGGAAAGGGATTGAAAAGAGAAGTAGTAGTCATCGTTTCCTTGTTTGGTATCATCCAATGAAAAAGAAAGGAGGCTTCCCCTTCTTTTGGTTTCATAAAAACGGACAGAAAACATGTCAAATTCCTTTATTCCGTTATCCCTTTCCCTCATGCATTGATACTTAGCCAGGAAATGCAACATCACAAGTTATTTAATACTATAGCCTTTCCTTTCCTTCATGGATGAAAAGAATCATCTATGGAGCTTTATTTGATATGTTGTTGTGAAGAGAAGATGATTGCATGCTGATTGAGATTTATACTTACATGCAGGAACCATCGAGGTTTGAGGCACTACTGGGGTCTTCGTGTACGTGGCCAGCACACCAAGACCACTGGTCGTAGGGGTAAAACTGTTGGTGTCTCTAAGAAGCGTTGAGCAGAGACATCTCACTTCCTTTTTTACTGGTTTTTAAGAATGAGATATGTGGTTAAAGCCAGCAAAATTTTATTTTGAGAATGCACTTGGATTTTGTCGCCTTTGAACGTTGATTGTGGTTGGGTTGGGTACTTGGTTGATCGTATTTTTTACTTACGAATCAGACGTCGCATGTTGATTTCCTTCGAACAAGATTGATGCATGATCACTACGTGAGACTTATCTTAGAAGGAGCATAATGCTTGAGTGAAAATTTTCTTAGAGGGGGCGTGTTTATGATCACAACAAACATAAAATTTAAAAATATTTAAGATAATAATGAAAAGGATGATGATATCCTTATTGTAGTTATTTAACTACTATGGAACTCTCAATCTCTTCATAAGAATTTACTTAATTTAGTTGGATATATTATATTTATCAATAATTTGTATTAGTTGGATATTTTGTTTTCTTAGTCTTTTGTACCTAATTAATAGGTGTATCTAAGGATACTTTTGTTAAAAAAAATTAACGTAGAAAACAAATTAAATAGCATATTGTAAAAATTTAAGGCAATTTAAGATTTTATAAATATAATTTGAGGCAACTAATATTTAGAGGCGTCAAATAAAATGGATTGACTTGGCTTAATTTGATTTATACGAATCAAATATTATTTAAAGTTAAGTTAGTTTAATTTATATTTTTTTTTGGGTTATCAAGTTTGGTCCAATTTAGTCTATGTTGGATTATTGGGTCAAATTAATGTAGTTAAAGAATATTTTTTTAAAAAATTAAATATATTTTTTACAATGAAAAAATAAAAATTATAACATGAATAATTGATATTATATAAGACATCTAATAGTTTTACATGTATTTAATTTTTCATAACTATTATTTGCATTTCTATATCTTATCAACTAGACTAATTTTTTCATATAAATTTCTTTATCTTGATTTTTATCATTGATACTCTTACTCTTTTATTGTGACTATGTAAACATAGACAGTGATTGTATCTTTGTCTTCTTTGACAAGTAAAACAGAAATAATATTAAAAAATTTCTCATAGTAACTAATTTTAATTCTAAGTTTGTAACCATAACTTAGTAAACTAGCACAAAAGAGTGAAAGATTATATATTTTATTTTATCATTTTATAATACATTACATATTTTTAGATTGATAATAATTTAGATTATTCTATTTATTGGTTTAATGAGTCAATCAGTGAGCTAACTTGACATTAATTGATTTAGTTTATCAAGCTTAATAAATTAAATTGAAATGATCTGATTTTATTTAAATTATCATTTTTAAAATTAAGTCTGACCTTATTTATAGTTGGACAAACTGATTTGTTGACTCAAACTCAAATTGACAACTCTAATAATATTTAGTGTTTGTTTATTTTTGTATAAAACCTTTGACAAACTTGCACCAAATTATTAAACACAAAATTAGTGGTATAAAAAGTCAAAATTAAAAGGTTGAACATAAAATGGAAATAGAATTCTATGAACATTTTGGAAAGTATTTAATTTTGATTCATGTATGTAAAGATTTCGTAAAAAAATAAAAGTCAATTTAATACTTTTAACATCTTAAAATAAATTAATCTTTCGTTGTCAAATGAAGATTATTCTCGGTGAAAAAAAAATTAAGTGATTTCTTGATTAAATACTTGAAGAAAATGTCTCAAGAAATTAATCTTTCATTATTAAATAGAGATTATTCTCCATGAAAAAAAATAATTAAAGTGATTTCAAGTTAAAACTTGGAATGCGCATTAAATACTTAAAAAAAAAAGGTTTTATAAGTCTTATAACAAGATTATTTGTTGAGATGTACACTTGACTGTTTTTCTTTAGACGGATATAAGATATCAAGTTAGATAAAATTAATTTTAATAAATTTAAAACTACAAAAAATTATATTGAAATGTTATAAACTTATAATGAAATAAATTATTTTGGTAGTTTGCGAAAAGATAGTTGCCGTCTTATACCTTGCAATGGTTATTTAGGTTGACTGTTCTTTTCGCCAGCACCAGAGTGAACGAACATATTGAGATGCAAAGATTGACCCTCCATGGTGGATGTGTATCAAATATTAATAAGACGGAGGATACCAAGTGCTTGTTTGAATTATGATACAAAAGAAAATTCTCACGTTCCAAAGCAGAAAAATGAGAAGTAACAATTTCTTACTTTCACATTCAATGACCGTTTAAGAATTTTTCACGCTAAACCAATCACACACACTGCAAATAGTTACACTTATAACCATCAAATGCTCATGCAAGGCTTTCAATAAGGGCAGAATCACGTTTGCCATCTAGGGGTCATTCATTGTGACCTTTCATTTTCGACAACTTGTACGGATATAGTCAGAATTAATTTTGATAAATTCATTATGATCAAAATGTTTGTATTTAAATTAATTTTAACTACATTTTTTTCTTGAAAAATATTTTTTAACTAATTTCCAAATGGGCACTAATAATTTCCCATCAATTGAATCAGTGGTTAGCCGTCAGAAACCAACTTTAATCTCCATATACTTGAACTATTTCTAAACCCAGAAAATGAAAAAGAGAAGAGGTAATTTATTGAAGGAACTCAACAAAACTAGGAATACTAGCGAATTTGTTTAAAAAATGCCATTGCTAATTAAATAACAAATATTTTGAGGCTGAATCTTCGCATCTTGAGATACATTAATCACTTAATGTCTGAATGAAGTTGAAGCAACAGGTGATCTCCAGGCAATATATCATGTATGAGATCAAACATTGCAATAGACAAGATTCTTCGCTTCTTCATTGTAGCTGAAACATGGATTACGGGCGAGATATACAAATCACTTAAACATGTCCTTGGGAATCTTTAATACTATGGTAGTAATTAACAGGGTAGCGATAAAGACTTACTAGGGTTATTGCTTAACCTTGAGACCGGCTTCTATGCGTTCAATGAGTTGATCTGCAGTCAATGCACCTTCCTGGAAGAAATTAAGAACAAAAAAATTTCTTGCTTAAAAGGTGAAGATGGTTGTTAAGAATATGGAGATAGCAGTCAACACCCTTGTTTAGTTTTGACAAATAAGCAAATAGCTACGCAGCTTCACAAAAAAAGCTAAATAGGTAAATAACAGATTCAGCTCAACAGAAACTGTCTACAATCTAAGATATTAATGACTTTGACAATATCACAGTATATTTATTCCTAATGAGTGAAAATATTTAACATTGAACATCAAAGAAAAGGCTGCAAACAGCTAAACACCAAACCATACCATTTCAAGCTATAATATACCACCACTCAAATATGATGATGGGAGAAAGCATTTTGAATTTTCAAATGAGTCTCATGCTATTGACTGCAGGCAGAAGTCTCTATTTTCAACATTCCTTGGATGAATGTACCAAACTACCTATTAGGTTCTTTACATTATAATCAAAGCAACCCTCATTTTCCTTATGTCAAAGACAGCAAGCTTTGTCAACATCATAGTTTTATCAAAATTAGGAACTAGATGATTCCTCTAGCTGCAAGTCCTCTACAAATTGTTTTCAAGAGCTACGTTAGGGCAGTTCCCAGCAAGAGGTCAAAATGATTTATACTTCTTTCATTAGTTGGATTAGAAATCAAATGAAGTATTATGATGGTTTGTATCATTTAGGTCACAAATTCAAATTTCTAACAAAATTGAAGAACACTGTAAGCATGGTTAGTTCTACTATTAGCATATGACACATCTCAGAACACTGCAACACAGCTAATGCAAATAAAGTTATAAGTAAGAAAGCATCAAATTCAGTTTCATGATTCAAATTTAAATGCCGTATCATGCACTTTTAGGCCAAATGTGATTGAAATCCATTGCACAAGCAGAACATGAAGCTTCCTCTTCCGTACATCGTAATATATTATAGTTTAGAGACAGTTAACCACCAGATGCAAGGAATGCATAAATCAAATGAAAAAAGATGCACGTTCTAACTTACAAAGCGATCAAAAGGTTCTCCGTCCTTAAACATGATGAAAGTTGGCAATGCCTCAATTCTGTATTTGTCAGCAATGCTAGGATACTTCTCAGTGTCAATCTTCACCACCTGTATCTTATCCTTAAGCCGAGTGCTTACTTCATCGAGTATGGGAACCATGAATTGACAAGGACCACACCTGTAAACCAGGTCTTGGGTCACTCATTATATGCTATCATAAAACTAGTTAATAAATCAGTTTTAACCTCATATAACATCAGTTAAAAAAAACTGGCATGACACGCAACACGCAAATAAGAAGAAAACACAGAGGAAGGAACTTACCAGGTCGCATAGAAGTCAACCAACACAGGCTTTTCAGAATTGGCAAGCAAATCATCAAACGAGTTAAAGGTTTGTTTCTTCGCTTGAACCTACATAAAAAAAAATATACGAAAACGCTTATAAGTTCTTCATTCGCTAAAAATGTTAACCAGTTTAGCAAAATTAAATAGTCAGATTAGATTTGTTTAGATATTTTTTTTCAAAAGTACTTCTAAGGGAGAAAAAAAAAACAATCGAAATAAACTTCTTCAATTTAAAACTAGCTTGAGCGTAAATTAAAAATAAGTTCAGGAATAATTTCTACAAATTAGCTTTTGCATAAAGTATTTTCTGCCAATAGAAAAAATTATCTCAATTTTTCATCCTATGTTTTTTCTCTTAAAAGTGTTTCTGCTTTAGTCCCCGATGAAAATTATGTTCAAGGTCCTCTGCCTGCACTGGTTCATTCAAATTAGTTCTCACGTCACCAATTCGAGGAATAACTTGACAAATGAATATTCATTGAGCGACTAATTTCACGAATAAGTAAATAATTAGGGATGGCAAATGTAATTTTCATCGTTGAATGAGTAATAAACGGACTAAACTAAATCGAGTATTTGCACAGAAATTAAGAATCTGAAATTGAGTAAAGTATGAAGGAAGTGTGGTTTGGGTTACCACATACCAGAGGAAGGAATCGAGGGCGCGAAGAGGGCGGAAGGCGTGGAGTAGTGATGGGAAGAAGGCGCGTGCGGAAGGGGAATTGGAGGGAGGAAGAAGAAGCGGAGGCGAAGCGCGTGGAGCGTTCGGAGTTGAGAGAAGGAATCGCGGAGGAGGTGGAAACGGAGAGTGCCATGGGAAGAGGAAATGTAGATGAGGTCTGTTTGGATGCTCAAATATCTCTTTGCTTTTCAGATGACAAAACAAAATATCTGACGCCTACCAAATCAACTCCCCAACCACCTCTCTTGCTCTCACTTTCCCAAATCTCTTTTCTTTTTCGCTTTTATAATTTGTTAGATGCTCATAAACATTTTCCGCCTGTCCTTGAAAATTTGAATATATACTAGTACAATTTAAATTTTATTTATTATTAGTATTACTAGCAAGTAAAATAATTATTTTATCTCCCCGTAAAAAAAATAAGCGAATAATTATTATTTTTTAGAAAGAACAATTACTTTTTTATGTATACATATTTTAATTTCATCCTTTAAATATATATTGTTGAATTTTTTTTAAATATATTAAAGAGATATAATCGTTTTTTTAAAAATATTACTAGAAAGTAATATTTCCTTTATTTATTACTAATGAGAAAGAAGACATTTTTTAACGTTTTTCTTTAATACATATATGTTAGTAAAGATAGTGTATAGTTGTTGGATAAAAAATGATATATATAATTTTTTTATCTTTTATTAATTATTATCATATGATTTATGTAATTTTTATAAGGGATTAAAATTGTAAAAACTAATATGTATAAAAAAATCACCTTCTTATTCATAGGTGTGGATTATAGATTAAAGTCAAAAAACCATTGTGTGTCTACGTGTCATTTAAAAAAATAAAAGATAAAATATTTAAGGTGAAATAATTGTAGAAAATTATTAATCGGAAAGTTTGGAAAGTTTTTGAGTAATTGTATGGATAAAATAAGAGGAAAAAAATGAACACTGAAACTATCCCGTATAAAATTTTTAAAAAATAAAAATATAAATAAGAATATAAATGTCCATATAAAAATAGACACAAAGCACAAATATTATTTTCCTCTTTGATGAATTTCCACAATGTTGTGAAATTAACCTTCCAGTTGAGAGTGGTGGTCAAATTAAGTCTTCTGTACATGGAGAACTCTAGAATTTCAACATATGACATTGCAGGTAAAATTTTGTTTGAGGATATGGTCCACTTCTACAATGACTAACATGGCTAGGTCGAATTATTTTTTTAATTTTTACCCACCCACTTTTTTCTTTCGAAAAAAAAATTTTCAAAATTTTTCATGGTTCATCCATATATTTAACCAAAAATTTAATCACACCGGATTAAAAGAAATAAAACCAAGCAAATACAAAATTCATGAGTCAAATTTTCCCTTTCGTTACAAACATTCACCCTTACCACTTCATACTAGGGATGGCAACGGGGCGGGGCGGGTACGGGTTTCATGATACCCGTCCTCGTCCTCGCGAGTCAACCCATTCCTGTCCCAGTACTCGTACCTGTCAGATATATGAATTCCATTCTCATTCCCGTCTCTGTCTGGTATCGGGTATACCCGTGCTCGTACTCATACTCGCCAATTTTTTTTATTTTATATATTTTATAAAAAAATATGATATTTTTTAATTATTTTTTATTATATTATAATTATAATTAACATATTTTTCTTTCTCATATTATAATAAATAATCACACATAAAAGAATATTAAATTTTTTTAATATAATTAAATTAAAAGTAAATATTAAATTAAAAATAGAAACGGAGACGGGTATGGGACGAGTAAGTACATACCCGTACCCGTACCCGATTTAATATATCGGGTTTTACCCATACTCGTACCTGTACCCAGTAAAATCGGATATTCCCTGTCAAAGTCAGGACAACTTCGGGTATTATCCGCGGGTACGGGTATATTTGCCATCCCTACTCCACACCACCAATGTATTCATTTCCTTCTCAAACACCAACGAAGTGCATGGTTTAAAAGAAGTAAGGAGAAGAGAGGAAGAAAAATAACCTTTTTTTTGTTCGGATTGAAACAAAAGAAGAAAAAAAAAGCTAAATTATTATTATAAACATCGTGTATGCAGTATTCCCAACCTATTTTAATTTTTTACCCCAATTTCTCTCCCTTTTAAATTTACCTAATTTTAAGGAGATTTTAACTTCCTCCACTTTCATTTCTTCCAAATTAAACAAAACAAACAGATTATAAAAATCTCTCCACTTCCTTCCTGTCAAAGTAAATGAATACTCGTTCTGCACATTAGCAAACACAAGTAATGTTGCAATTTTTGATTTCCATCCATGGTAAGTGGACAATTCTTTACAATGATACAATTCATTCACACAAGAAACATACATGTCTAGTGGTACAACATGATGACAATTATCAAAAGCAGTCATAATACAGAACACTAAATCCTCACTTATGGGGTATTTGCCGGTAGCCTCATCAGGTGATGTACATAATTGTGGGAGTCCAAAACTACAACTGAGAACACCAGAATACGTGCAAAATAACTTGAAAGTTTAAAACCATGTGTGGCATTCTAAAAAATTTGGGTCGCCAGAAGATCATCCATCACTTGTCAATGTGAAAGCCAGAACAACAATGGTGAGTGCAAAGAAAATGGTGGCACCACGAAACAACCGTGTATATTTAATTGCAGTCGGATTCTTGCTCTCTTCACTGCTTAACTCAATGTCTTTGAGAAGCTCCCTCACTTGACCAATGTCAGAGTCTTTTGCAGCTTGGATTAGTCTGCTTTGAATCTTATCAAGCTTACTCAGCCTCCTATTACCAGATGTAGGATGTGACCAGATAAAACCTGTCATCTTCCACAAGAGGATCCCCACATAGATGGCTACAATGCAGTCTACAGAGTAATGATGACGTTCTCGTATTTCCCTTTGGGTACTGTGCAACACAAGAAGCCATACAAGAGCAGAACTGAAACCTCCATAGGCTTCCTGCAATCATTATCAATATAGAAAAGTCCAACAGTAAGCTCCTACTTTAAAATCAAATGCAAACAACGAGAAGATGATAAGACAATGCGGTCTTGGAATTAATCCAAATCTTACCGTCCAAGCCATGGCTGTGAGTACAGCAACGAGCATGTGGCCACTGTATAGGAGGTCATTGCAGCCACCTCCAGCTTTCTTTAACAGACTGAACCATGAAGGTCCTTCAGACACAGTGGGCCGCAGAAAATCAACCAGAAAGCTCATCAAACCCCAATCTGGCTGGTAGTCACCAATTGGTTTTCCAATGTCAACTAAGAAAGAAAAGTGTGTTAATCTGCAGGACATTCTCACACAAGCAAAATGTCCACAAAGGTGGACAGGTTCATACAGACGTACAGGAAGGTATTGATGATAGACATTATTCAGCTGTGATTAAAAACCTTAAAAAATTATAATTACGAATGATACATGAAATAATAAAAATCTAAATTCATATAATGACAAAGATGTAAGGTTCAGTTCAGATTTCTCAATAAAATGGCACCAAAGAAACACCAAACATCTGCAAATAATTCTAGGGTTCAAAACCTAATGTTTTTCGGTTTCAATTCAAAATTTCTACTTCAACAACGAATCTTATGACAAGATAAATGAAGAGGATCTTTAATCAGCATGACATGTCTAATAAATTTGTTAATCTTATAGGCCACAATATAAGCACCTGGCATTAAATCATTATATAGAATGAGAACATATCTTTATAAGTTAAAAGCAGATACATATTCTGCATACCATAAGCTGTATCTAGCTTTATCAACTGGTTGATAGCATCATGGTCTGAAGCATAGGGAACATAATATTTCTGAGCCCATGGGTGAGGATATCCAGGAACTCTGAACCGAGAACCAGCACACCAAGGACGGGCTGATGGCAGAATTGTAGATGCAAAAGTTATGGAACGAAGAAGGCGGCCAATTGCCATGGTAAACATGTACCTAGCACCAAGTCCAAGCCCCGGAGCTTTTACAGAATCAAATAACACAGAGAATGCCAGCATCATGAACAACATCAAGAAATGGTGCAGTCCAATGATTCGAGCTCTTAATATCTCAACAATTGGACTAGGAAGTTTCTCATTTAACGCCAGGAGCAACCATTGACCCGTATCTGGAAGAGGACGTGTATCCCTGTCAATAAATAAACGAGTTTTCATTTTTCAAAAATCATAACACCTGCTTGAAGTTAAGTTTATGTTAAATAATCCAAGACAAACCGCGCTCATAGGAATTATATATCAGATATCTGCAAATACACCAATTAACACTCTGCACAAAACAAGATTAGTAGCATTGGTCGTTTCAATTTGAAAATCAGCTATTATCACACCAAGAAAAAAAAAACCTACAAGGCATTTTAAGTAATTTTCCGTTAACATAAATCTGATAATTATTATTTTAACAAAGCATAGATTTCAGGAAGCGTTCAAAACCCACATTTAGAACGAGATCCAGTTCCCGAAATCTCATAAAAAATTCGATATCAATAAAGAATCACGAGAAAAGAAACAATGTTGATCTACTCTACGCATAATAATGAACAACACGAAGAGTTAGTTACCGGTGCCAGTCGAGGCCGAGGACGGCGGTGACGGAGCGGACGGAGAGGGCTTCGAAGAGGAAAGCGCCGAGCATGAAGAGCATGGAGGCGACGAACGGAATCACCGAGCGGAACTCGGCGGACCAGTGGCGGTAGGAGGGGACGCGGAGCACGGCGGCGAGGGCGAGGAGGGACCACAGAGCCGGTTGCAGACGCGAGTGCCACGCCGGGGAAAGGTGGCGGAGGTAGTCGACGGCGATGTAGGACATGGCGGCTATGCCCAGGCCGGCGTTCTTCGCCGGCCACCGCATGGCACTGGCGAGTTGGGGAATCGGAGAGTGAGTCAAAGTGAACGTGGAATTGTGTCCGGCGGTCTTTTACACAAGTCTATTGTTTGGATTTACTTTTTAGTGAGAACACAAAGAAAAGAAACAAAAATCCAGAAAGAAAAAAAGTGAAAGATTGTGTTTTTTCTCTTAAGTGAAATGTTTTCATTCTTTTTTAGAAATTTTAATTCAAGAATCTCAAATTTTCATGTTTAATAGTTATTATAAAAAATTCAAAGAACATAATTTTACATAAATTATTTTTATCCTGTTTTTTTACAAAAATATTTTCATGTGAGAATTCATTAAGAAAAAAGTTATATATATATAAAAAATTATAGAATTCCTTTCGGAAGAGAAAATCTCTCTTTTTCTATTTTTATTTCACTTTTCTTTACTCACTCTTTCTGGCTTTGTCATTCCCCCTCTCTTCTCTCCCTTTGTTCTTCTTCTCTTCCTCTCATGTCTTCATCTTTCTTTATTTTTCTTATATTTCATTATTTTTTTTAACTTTATCAATTTTAATTATATTATTAAAATATATGTTTTATTTTTATAAATTAATAATATTTGTTAACATTTATTTACGTTTTTTTTTATTTGAATGAAATAAAATAATATATTTTTATTCTTTTTA